AGGGGGGCTCCAAGGTCTCGTGACGTGTCCTCTGAGTGGTGGTGGTGGTGGTGGTGATGGTCGTAGGCAGAGTGCGCAGCGGTGGAGTGGGCATCACCTCCTGGGGAATGTAAGGGGGTTCCAGGGTGTAAGGGGGCCGTTCTATGCGGAGGTAGGGAGGCGGCAGAGAAGGCCGCGACTCCGAAGACTCCGGCCTTGGAGTGATGTAGGTGGGTAATGAAGGGATAAAAGGGGGCTCAGGTGTAGTGTAGGGCTCCTCGGAGGGGATATAGGGGGACTCAAGGGTGACGGTGACCTCATGGGGGAGGAAGGGTAACTCAAGAGGGGTGGGAGGGACCTCCTTCGGGATGTAGGGCGGGTCAATTGCAGTGGGAGCCATTTCCTGGGGGAAGAACGGGGGCTCCAAGGTGATCGTCCGCTCCAATGGGAGGTAGGGGGCTTCTAGCAACGGGGCCGCATATGTGGGAGGAATGAAGGGGGGCTCTATGATGATAGTCGGCTCCGTGTCTTCCAAGGTGGTGTTCCCGACGGTTTGTGGCCTTGGGGTGGTACGCACTGTCGAGGTCATTGTAGACGAAGAGGTCGGTGTGGTGTTGGAAAGCGCTGAAGACGTCTCCATGGGGAGAGGGATGTTGCTCACTTCTACTATGGTCTCAGGCCTTTCTGTGGGGGCCATGGTGGCCCATTCTGAGCTGGTGGGTTCATCTGAAGGCAGCTCTGAGGTGGAAGAGATGTCCTCTGTGGCAGCGCTGCTCGAAGGAAGGAGTGTGATGCCACCCAGAGGGGTGCTGGCCGAAGGTGTCGTTGTGGTTTCCTGGGTCTGGCCCCCTTCCTCCTCCAACATCGTGCCTACGATCCACTCAATGTAGTCCTTGGTGGAGGTGTAGACGCCGGGCCGGTTGGGCTGGGCACAGCCTTTGCCCCAGCTGGTGATGCCCACCACGTAGTACAGCGACTCCGCCGACGTCTTGCACATCAAGGGCCCCCCGCTGTCTCCCTGTAAAGAGAAGGAAGGAAGGGGTCACAGGGTCACAGGGGAAAGGCAAAATGGGGGCACCATCTACAAACTGGAGGCCTCCCTCAGCAGCACCCTGTAAGGCTGTAGGTTTTATATAGTAATATTAAATGATCACTCACAAGCCGGTTTTGCTTGGAAATGAATATATTGCTTGTTCCTCTGCAGCAAAGAAAGACACTACTGACTTTTCCCCACCACCACTTCCTTTTATACACCTTTCCTGCCCATCTCCCTGCTCTTCTCAGTTTCCTTATTAGAACTTGTTGCTTCACAAGTTCCAGAATACAAGGTTTCCAGCACCCTCTTCTGGCTTCAAAATGTCACAGAGAGAAAACTGAGGCAGCCAGGATGATTCAGTCAGGATGTCACGGAGGGAATTTGTGATGTCTTCATGCCGTCAGAAATTGACTCCTAACACTTGTTGCGTCAATATTCCTCCCCTAGAAAGAAAAACATAAACACCGGCAGCATCGACCTTAACTAGGTTTTATGGTGTAATTTACATGAAAACGCCTAATTAGCTTTGGCGCTCGAATATCTGCTGCCCTCACCCACTCAGAGTCATTGAAATGGCGCCACTTCACTACATACTGTAAACTTCCACGACGTCTTCTGGAGTCTAAAATACCAACAATCTCGAAATGTTGTTCCCCATCTACCAGAATAGATGTCTTCATGCCGCCAGAAATTGACTCCTGACACACCCCAACCGCTGCTTTGTTACCAATGGCTTTGTCATGTCATTCCATGCAGTTGTCTTGGGAGGTTATCACACTATGTTGTTATTCCATGTTAACTGTGAGGGCCGCCTCATGTGGAACATTGGCCTTTGCATTTGAGGGAGGGGCCTTTGGAGTTCCCAGCCAGAGAGGTCGTAGGCTTCACTGAACTGCAAAGCCCAGAATCCCACAAGAGGCAGCCATTGCAGTCAAAGTGGGTTAGCAGCGCTTTAACGGGGCAGTGCGATAATTTCCTTGTTGGAAGAGATTGCCCACATTGAAGTCCCGTATTGGGGAGCAGCTTATAGGAAGGATTTGGCCAATGGCAGACCCCCAATTTTGGAATGCACATGGGAAAGAAGGAACGCAGGGAAGGGAAGAGCTAGTAGATGGGACAGAGCAGCCATTCTCCTAGAAGCTCCACAGAAGAGGTCCACACACCCTCCGTGGCTACTTACCTGGCAGCTGTCGATGCCGCCTTCCTCGTACCCTGCGCACAGCGTGTGCGGACTCATGGCCCCGCTGTACCACTCGCTGCTGTTGCACTTCTGGACATCCAGAATGTTCACCTTGGCCTCCTGCAGGACATCTGACGTCTTCACACCTGCAAGTTGAAGGGACAGGTGAGCATGGCTGCCACCGTCTCCTAGCAAGAAGCTGAATCCTTAATTGAATGCTGCAAAGTTTGGAGACATTGTGGCAGGAGGTAATCGGGACCTTCTTGTGCAATTTCCCTTTGGCAGATGGAGATGCTCAGGTGCAGCTACAAGATGCACCTGAAGGTTTGCCAGCTATCCCGGTACATTAGGGTGGGGTTGGGGGAGGTTGATGTCATTTGGGAGTTGTAGTGGCTGGGATTTATAGTTCACCTACAACCAAGGAGCATTCTGAACACCACCAAGGATGGAATTGAACCAAACTTGGCACGCAGACCTCCCATGACCAACAGAAATTACTGGAAGGGTTTGGTGGACATTGACCTTGAGTTTGGGAGTTGTAGTTCATCAACATCCAGAGAGCACTGTGGACTCGAACATTGACCAAACTTGGCACGAATATTTCATATGCACAAATATGAACACAGATGGAGTTTGGGGAAAATAGACCTTGCCCTCTGGGAGTTGTGGTTGCTGGGATGTATAGTTCACCTGGAGTCAAAAAGCATCCTGAACCCCACCAACAATAGAATTGGGCCAAACTTCCCACACAGAACCCCCACGGCCAACAGAAAATGTTTTCTGTTGGTCTTTGGCGACCCCTCTGACACCCACTCACAACCCCCTCATAACATCTAAGCTTATTGCCTGTTTTGTTCTAGTTCTCTTAAATAAACATCATTGTTTTATTGTTCACAACATTTGCCTCAAGTGTGCCTCTGCGGGTGAAGTTTTAAAAGCAGTTTCCTGCAGCAATAAAAAGATTAATGGTGGCAGGGTATATTTTAAAAGAGTAATCAAGCCTGAGTGCTAATCCAGTACACTCCCCCCCAGGTTGAGAAACCCTGTTTTAAGGGGTGCACTGTTCCTTCATTGCCGCTCATTCTTCGGATTTTTTAATAACCAAATATCACTGAATGGGGGGTTCTTTAAAAATACACAAGATACCCGAAGTTATGCCTTTATAACTGTGATCACACATTTGGAGCATGTATTTATTTCATTATTTATGTGTGTATGTATTTATGTGATGAAATATTGTTTGTAGTTTACACAATGTGTGGTGTAGCACTGCAGTGTAAGAGTTAAATGTATAGAGCTGTACTTGATTCCTAGAGCATAACCTTTGAGTGTCCCTGAGTGTGTTTACATTCCACTGAATCAGACATGCCATGCTTTGAGCTTCCAGTGATGTACAGCTAGTGAATGGACGTGTTATATTCTGCTCCTGTAAATAGTGTAAATTGCAATAAAAAGATAAGTGCCGCTCCGGGCTTCGGAGCTGACTGCGGTAGCACACTTCATTATTTACTTTTGTGCCTTTGAGTGGACGCTCAGAGGTCAATAAATCAATAATTTCTATACCGCCTTTCTCCGAAGACCCAAGGCAGTACATAGCAACAATTACACATGAATATAAGGTAAAGGTTTCCCTTGACATTCAGTCTAGTCATGTCCTACTCTGGGACCCTGGTGCTCATCTCCATTTCTAAGCTGAAGAGTTCGCATTGTCCATAGACACCTCCAAGGTCATGTGGCCAGCATAACTGCATGGAGCACCGTTACCTTCCCACAGAAGCAATACAAAAAATACACCATATCACTCAGAGGCTCACCAGGCTCCTCAAGCCCCATCACCGTCCTTCCCTCATGTTGATTCATGTAGGAACCAATGATACTGCTAGGCATACTTTTCAAAAGATCATAAATGATTTTCGAGCTCTCAGAACAAAGCTAAAACAATGTAATGTACAGGTGGTCTTTTCATCCCTCCTCCCAGTTGTAAGACACGGTCCTACAAGGGCCAGAAAAATAGTACAGGTCAATGACTGGCTTAGAAAATGGTGTCAGGAGGAATGCTTTGGCTTCCTCGACCATGGCCTGCTTTTCCAGGAGGATGGCCTACTGGCAAGGGATGGGGTGCATCTCACACAAGTAGGAAAACACCTTTTTGCTCACAGACTCGCAAACCTCATTAGGCGCACTTTAAACTAGGTCCACTGGGGGAGGGGGACAACAGCCTTGCGAACACTACTTTACCCACAATGTCTGGGAACCGCCAGAAGGCTAAACGGAGGGCTGCACAAACACAAAAAGGACCAAGTACCGAAAGCACAATAATCCCAATTAAACAGCTCAGGGGAAGATCTCATGGGTTCACATGTCTTTACACTAATGCACAGAGCATGGGAAATAAACAAGACACCTTGGAGGTTTCTACGGACAATGCCGGCTTTTCAGTTTAGAGATGGAGTTGAGCACCACACCCCAGAGTCAGACATGACTGGACTTAATGTCAACACCACAAATATGATATCATAGGGATCACTGAAACCTGGTGGGATGACTCATCGCTGAAATGTAGACATCGAGAGCTATAACCTCTTTCACAGAAACCGAACAAAGGGGAGAGGAGGCAGAGTAGCCTTATATGTCAAAAACTGTTATGCTGCAGAAGAGATGCAAGAGAGCAATCCGGGAAAGCATCTGGATAAGAATCAAGGGAACTGGGACTCAAAAAGATCTCGTTGTAGGCATCTACTACAGACCTCCAAGCCAGGAGGAAGAACTAGATGAAGTCTTCTGCCAACAGTTGACCAAACAGGCATAGAGAAGAGATGTAGTAGTCATGGGCGATTTCAACTATCCCGATATTTGCTGGAAAACAAACTCGGCCAAGAGTACAAGGTCCAACAAATTCCTCGCTTGCCTTGCAGACAATTTCATGGTCCAGAAGGTAGAAGAGGCAACAAGGGGATGGGCTACTCTTGATCTCATCCTACCAGTGGAACTCTCTGCCCCGGAGTGTGGTGGAGGCTCCTTCTTTGGAAGCTTTTAAACCGAAGCTGGATGGCCATCTGTCAGGGGTGATTTGAATGCAATATTCCTGCTTCTTGGCAGGGGGTTGGACTGGATGGCCCATGAGGTCTCTTCCAACTCTTTGAAAAAAAAATGATCTACTCACATTTGCATGTTTTGAACTGCTAGGTTGGCAGAAGTTGGGCCTAACAGCGGGAGCTCACCCCACTCTCTGGATTCGAACCACCAACCTTTCAGTCAGCAAGTTTAGTAGCTCCGCGGTTTAATCCGCTGCACTACTAGCCCCCACACCAAAATACAAAATAACCATCTAATAAAAGTCCATCTACTAAATTCCAAATATATGCCACCTTTCTCCCAAAATTGGACCCAAAGCAGCTTCCAAAATCAGCCGTTACATAGTTCAGAGTGAATTATATAGGGCTGTTTTGGTTACTTAATCAATGTAGTTAAGATTTTTACATCAAAACTTCATTTGTGATTACCACCGACACTACTGGTATGGACCACTGTTGGTAAAGTCCACCAAGATACTACCATTTTGTTGACCACTGTGATAGATTAAAGTCCTTGGATAATTACCCTACAGCGGAGCTATCCTTGGGTGCAGGAATGCAATTTGACCCAACTTGAACTTCCATGGCTCAATACTACGGAACCCTGGGAGTTGTAGCATAACAAGGTCTTATGACTTCTCCCCCCCCCCCACCCTCTCCAAACCCATGGCCTCACTATTCTGGGAGGTGGTTCCCCATCCGCTGATGAAGCAGCTGGCGTAGGTGGTCTTCTCATCTGTGATGCGGGGCAGGCAGGCCGGCTGCACGTAGTCGCTGAAGGCAACAGGGGTGTCCAGCTCCATGAGCGCCACATCGTTGGCCTCGTTGCGTGGATTGTAATCCCGGTGAAGGATGACCTTCTTCACCGAGCGCAGCTCCGCAGTGTCCAGTATCTCTGCAAGGTCCGTGCTGCCCAACACAATCCGCCACTGACCCAAGGACCTGTGAGCAAAGGGACTCCCATCAGCACACAAAGGCCCACACGGCACGTCCAAAACAAGCTGGAAGGTGTCCAGAAATGGGCAACCAAAGGACTAGAACAGTGGTTCCCAACCTTTTTTGACCAGGGACCACTTGACTAGGGACCACTTTGACCAGGGACCACTTTGTCCAGGGACCACTTGAACAGGGACCACTTTGTCCAGGGACCACGTCAACATGGACCACTTTGACCAGGGAGCACTTGACCAGGGACCCCTCTGACCAGAGACCACTTGACCAGGGACCACTTTGACCAGGAACCTCTCTGACCAGGGACCACTTGACCAGAGGCCCTTGACCAGGGACCCCTCTGACCAGGTATCCCTCTGACCAGTGACTCCTCTGACCAGGGACCACTTGACCAGGACCCCTTGACCAGGGACGCCCCCTCTGTAATTAGTGTGAGGAGTAATTAAGAATCGAAACAATTTTTCCAATTTTCGTAATTATTTCGTAATTATTTTCGTATGTCTGGTGCAAGTTTTACAATCTCGCATTTACCCCACTTCCGGTCCCTTTGCTCTGCTGCTTCCCTCCTCTTTCCTCATGCTTCTTCTTGCCTCACTCTAATATACAATACTATAATATAATATATAATATATAATATAATAATATTATAATATTATATTATATTATATTATATTATTATATTATAATTGTATAATATATATTATTATATTATATTATAATTGTATAATATAATATAATATAAAGTAATATAATATAATAATAATATAATATAATATAATAATATATAATATAATAATATAATATATAATATAATAATATTATAATATAATATAGAACAATATAATATAATAATATTCTAATAATATAATATAGTTGTTGTTTGTTTTATCACACCAACAGTCAACAACAGAGGGAGAGGGAAGCTTCAGAAGTTCCCCCTGTCCCATTTGGAGGTTTTTAGCGTATTGCGCAATCGCGTCCGCCATTAACGAATCAATTCGAATAATTTACGAAATTTCGGAAATTTCGAAATTTTGAAATCTTAAATTTCGGAAGTCCTCAGAATTTAGAAACGCTAGCGCACCCTAGAAACGAAACGAGTTTAGAACCAATTTTTTTCTTGATCGCCCAAGCCTACTGGCCAGTAGTTTCAGACCTAGGTTGACCCTGAGCGAGGGCCAGGTAAATGACCTTGGAGGGCCGCATCCGGCCCCTGGATCTTAGTTTGAGGACCCCTGATCTAGACACTAGACTCCTCTTGGTGCAGGCCAAAATCCCATTGGCTTTTTTTGCGGCCGCATGACATTCCTGGCTCCTGTTCCCCTTCCTCCACGAGGACTCCAAGATCTTTTCCACACGTCCTGCTCTCGAGCCAGGCATCATCGTCCCCCATTCTGTCCCTTTGCATTTCCCTTTTTCTGACCACTCTCACAACCACCAGAGTTTCGGACTAAGATGCTATCTCTATGCAGATGACGTCCAAATCTGTCACTCCTTCTCACCTGTCACCAAGGAGGCTGTCCAGACCTTGAACCGGTGTTTAGCCGCTGTATCGGACTGGATGAGAGCTAACAAATTGAAATTGAATCCAGACAAGACAGAGGTCCTACTGGTCAGTCGGAAGGCCGAACAGGGTATAGGGTTACAGCCTGTGTTAGACGGGGTTACACTCCCCCTGAAGACGCAGGTTCGCAGCTTGGGAGTGATCCTGGACTCATCGCTGAGCCTGGAACCCCAGGTCTCAGCGGTGGCCGGGAGAGCTTTCGCACAATTAAAACTTGTGTGCCAGCTGCGCCCGTACCTTGGGAAGTCGGATCTGGCCACAGTGGTCCACGCTCTTGTCACATCCCGGTTGGATTACTGCAACGCACTCTACGTGGGGTTGCCTTTGAAGACTGCTCGGAAACTTCAACTAGTCCAGCGAGAAGCAGCCAGATTGCTCACCGGAGCGGCGTACAGGGAGCACACCACCCCCCTGTTGCGCCAGCTCCACTGGCTGCCGATCCAATTCCGAGCACAATTCAAAGTGCTGGTTTTGACCTACAAAACCCTATACGGTTCCGGCCCAGTGTATTTGTCCGAACGGATCTCCCTCTACATCCCACCTCGAAGTTTAAGATCTTCTGGGGAGGCCCTGCTCTCGACCCCGCCAGTGGCACAAGTGAGGCTGGCGGGGACGAGGAGCAGGGCCTTCTCAGTGGTGGCCCCTCACCTGTGGAACTCACTCCCCGGGGAGATCAGATCGACGACTTCCCTTCTAGCGTTTAGGAAAAAACTAAAGACCTGGATGTGGGACCAAGCTTTTGGCCATGCTGACAACTAACTAAAGGACCTGTCGATAGACAAGGACAATGGAATGGAATGGATATATGGACTCTGATATATGGACTCTGACATGAGATAGTTTTTATGATTTTATTAGGTATTGATGTTTTATTTTAATTGTTGAATTGTTATATTTTGTATTGTTTGTTGTGTGATTTTGGGCATCTAATTGTGCCTTTCCTGTAAGCCGCCCTGAGTCCCCCTCGGGGTGAGAAGGGCGGGGTATAAGTAGATGAAATAAATAAATGAAATGTCAGGCTACACAGAGAAGCCATTGACATCCACAAGCATGTGGACAATTTCAACAGAAAAGAGGAAACCATGAAAATGAACAAAATCTGGCTACCAGTATTGAAAAACTCTAAAATTACAACAGCACAACAACAGAGAGGAAACAAACAAGGACATCTAATCACTAGGTTTGGGTAACCACGGAAAAATTTGGTTCTAAACTCGTTTCGTTTTTAGGGGGCCCTTGCGTTTCGTTTTTTTTAAATAATTACAAAATTTTCCTTTTAAAAATTTCGAAATTTACGAAATTTCGTAAAATTACGAATCGATTCGTTAATGGCGGACGAGATAGCGCAATATGCTAAAAAACCCTCCAAACGTTTCGTTTTTTTAAAGAATTCCGAAATTTTCCTTTAAAAAAGTTCAAAATATACGAAATTTCGTAAAATTACGAATCGATTCGTTAATGGCGGACGCGATTGCACAATATGCTAAAAAACCCTCCAAATGGGACAGGGGGAACTTCTGAAGCTTCCCTCTCCCTCTGTTGTTGACTGTTGGTGTGATAAAACAAACAACAACTATAAAACTTGCACCAGACATGCGAAAATAATTACGAAATAATTACGAAATAATTACAAAATAATTACGAAATAAATTGAAAAAATTGTTTCGAATCTAATTACTCCTCACACTATTCCTGCATGGCTCAATATTGGATCGTAAGCTAATTTAAATACGAATTAATAACGAATTACGAAATTAACGAACGAAACCGCCCAAGCCTACTAAGGACATTAAAACTCTGCTCTAGGCACTGTCAAGCCATTATATGCTAATCAAGGTGGTCAGTTGAAACATTCACACCTAGCTCCAGCAGACAAGAGTCCTTTGTCCCACCCTGGTCATTCCACAGATATATAAACCCATTTTCCTAGTTCCAACAGACCTCACTACCTCTGAGGATGCTTGCCATAGATGCAGGCGAAACGTCAGGAGAGAATGCCTCTAGAACAGTGGTTCTCAACCTTCCTAATGCCGCGACCCCTAAATACAGTCCCTCATGTTGTGGCGACCCCCAACCATAACATTAATTTCGTTGCTACTTAATAACTGTAATTTTGCTTCTGTTATGAACTGGAATGTAAATATCCAGTATACAGGATGTGTTTTCATTCACTGAACCAAATTTGGCACAAATACCTAATATGCCCAAAATTTGAATACTGATGGGGTTGACTTTGTCATTTGGGAGTTATAGTTGCTGGGATTTATAGTTCACCTACAATCAAAGAGCATTCTGAACTCCACCAGCTATGGAATTGAACCAAACTTGGCACACAGAACTCCCATGACCAATAGAAAATACTGGAAGAGGTTTGGTGGGCATTGACCTTGAGTTTGGAGTTGTAGTTCACCTACATCTAGAGAGCACTGTGGACTCAAACAATGATGGATCTGGACCAAATTTGGCACCAATACTCCATATGCCCAAATGTGAACACTGGTGGAGTTTGGGGAAAATAAGACCTTGGCATTTGGGAGTTGTAGTTTCTGTGATTTATAGTTCACCTACAATCAAAGAGCATTCTGAACCCCACCAATGGTAGAGTTGGGCCAAACCTCCCACACAGAACTGCCATGACCAACAGAAAATACTGTGTTTTCTGATGGTCTTTGGTGACCCCTCTAACACCCCCTCGCACCCCCCCCCCCCCCAGGTGTCCCAACCCCCAGGTTGAGAAACACTGCTCTAGACCATGGCCACATAGCCCGAAAAAACCTACAACAACCCAGTGATTCCGGCCATGAAAGCCTTCGACAACACAATAAATAAATAGATCTTCCCACCCACGCCTGGCCCTTACCTCCTCTTGGTCTTGAAGCAATGGGCGGCGGTGAGGACCCAGCTGTTGGCCAGGAGGGACCCTCCGCAGGAGTGCCGCGTCCCCTCCTTGGAGGGGATCTGGATGCTCACCAGCCAGGGCCACTCTCCGGGCACCGCGTCCACGCCGCCCACGATCCGCATGCTGCCCGCATACGAGGGCGCCAGGGGACGCTTCCCACAGGCTGCAAAAGAGGAGGAGGAGGAAGTGGTGTCAGCAGGAATACATTAAAAAGTAGTATTTCAAAAGCATCCAAAGGAGTCTTTTCTTTCTTTTGCAACAAGACAGAATATACCACAGAGCGATACAGGGAAAGAAAGTACGGCAGAGTCTCACTCATCCACCGATCTCACTTGTGCGCCAGCTGCGCCCGTTCCTTGGGAAGTCTGACTTGGCCACGGTGGTCCAAGCTCTGGTTACATCCCATATAGACTACTGCAACACTCTCTACATGGGGTTGCCTTTGAAGACTGTTCGGAAGCTCCAAATGGTCCAACGAGGCGGCAGCCAGGTTGCTAACAGGAGCGGTGCCCAGGGAGCATACAACTCCTCTGTTGCGCCAACTCCACTGGCTGCCAATTTGCTACCGAGCACAATCCAAATTCTGGCTTTAGCCTATAAAGCCCTCAACGGTTCTGGCCCAGCTTACCTGTCCGAACGTATCTCTCCTTACGAACCCTCTAGGAATTTAAGATCTTCTGGGGAGGCCCTCCTCTCGCAGGCATGTAGCCGGGGCGGGGGGGGGGGGGCTTGAGGGGCTTCAGCCCCCCCCCCCAAATTCTCATGGTGGTTCGCGAAAAGGCCTTACTGGTGCATTATTTAAACTGTTATGTTTATTCATATCATGATCTGATCACCATACTCAATATATCCCATATGCATGGGGGTATTGGGGTAACGATACAAAAGGTTTGCTAGGCTAGACCCTCTTTCACTCAGACTCAGCCCCCCCCCCCCGAAACTCAGCCCCCGAAACCCCCCCCTGAAAAAAATTCAGCCCCCCCCCCCCCGAATGAAATCCTGGCTACGGGCCTGGCTCTCAACCCTGTCATCTTCACAGGCTCGATTGGCAGGGACAAGGGATAGGGCCTTCTCAGCAGTGGCCTCTCGGTTGTGGAATGCCCTCCCCAGCGACTAAAATGATCAAGGGTCTGGAGGAGGGAGCCACAGGAAGGAGGAGGGAGCAAGCTTCCTTTCTGCTTCCCTGGAGACTAGGACGCGGAGCAATGGCTTCAAACTACAAGAAAGGAGATTCCATCTGAACATGAGGAAGAACTTCCTGACTGTGAGAGCCGTTCAGCAGTGGAACTCTCTGCCCCGGAGTGTGGTGGAGGCTCCTTCTTTGGAAGCTTTTAAACAGAGGCTGGATGGCCATCTGTCAGGGGTGATTTGAATGCAATATTCCTGCTTCTTGGCAGAATGGGGCTGGACTGGATGGCCCATGAGGTCTCTTCCAACTCTTTGATTCTATGATTCTATGATTCAAAGAGGGATGGATGGCATCCTTGAAGTGACTGGCTTGACCTTGAAGGAGCTGGGGGTGGTGACGACCAAAAGGGAGCTCTGGCGTGGGCTGGTCCATGAGGTCACGAAGAGTCGGAAACGACTGAATGAATGAACAACAATTGAATCAATGCTATAGAATTCTGGGATTTGTAGTTCAGCGGGGAACCAGTACTGTGAGGTTCACAAGACTAAAGACCTAGTAAAACTACAATTCTCAGGATTCCACAACAGTTAGCTATGGCAGTTCAAGTGGTGTTAGGTAGGTAAAGGTTCTCCCCTAACATTAAGTCCAATCATGTCTGACTCTGGGACTCTGGTGCTCATCTCCATTTCTAAGCCGAAGAGCCAGTGTTGTCCATAGACACCTCCAAGGTCATGTGGCCAGCATGACCGCATGGAGCGCCATTACCTTCCCGCCGGAGTGGTACCTATTGATCTACTCACATTTGCATGTTTGGCAGAAGCTAGGGCTGACAGCGGAAGCTCACGCCGCTCCCTAGAATCGAACCTGTGACCTTTTGGTCAACAAGCTCAGCAGCTCAGTGCTTTAACCCACTGCGCTACCGGAGGGGGGGGGGGGGAGTGGTGTTAAACAACATGAATTCTAGAGTGTAGAAACATCCTCCGTCACAACAAACTACAAATCCTAGAAGTGGAAACTAAAGTGGTATCGAACCGCTACAATTCTGCAGTGTGAATGGTCTCAAAGTCAACAAGAGACAGGTTTGTCTTACTCTTCTCATCCTCCGGGATCCACTCCCATCTGTGTTATTATGAGGTCCCAAAACATTGAAAGTGGGCCTTTTGTGACTATGGTGAGACCTTTCCTTATTATGGTGATGGGTTTGGAAAGAATATAGGGTGATGGGAATGTCCTACCTTGGGGTCAATGACAGCACTGCTTCCCAACCTTTGGTCCTCCCTTTGTTTGTTTTGGACTTCAACTCCCAGAAATCCCAACCAATTGTGGAAACTGGCGTCCAAAATACCTGGAGGGCCAAAGGTAGAGGAAGCCCACCTCTGAGGCTGGGCCTACTTACTCTCCGGATCGTAGCCGTGCGTCCCCGTGAAGCGAAGGAAGGACAGTGTGGCCAGGAGGAGCCCGGCCGGGGCTGCCATCCTGAGCTGGGCCTCCTGGCATCGCTTCGTCATCGGAGCAGTGCCTCAGCCTTGCCAAGGTGCCGACATCAGTGGGTTCTGCTTCTGCGTTGCTAGGCGATGGGGCCCGACCTCAGCCTCCAGGACAGGGTCTGGAGGGCACCGGTCACCCCATCGCCCCATCGGTCAGGCGGAGGGGCCCCACCGCAGAAGAGGGCACTGGGAAGAAGGAGCCTCGGTGTCTGCTCTGCGCAAGGGGAAACGAGGGCCAGGGAGAAGAGAAGCAACAATGGCCAAGGCCTTCGGAATGTCAGCACAATAGACCTTCTGGAAGCTTGGGGGTCTTCTGCACGCATCATCATTGGAAAGCCTTATTGCTTGGAGTTCTCCTAGAAGCACCATAGAAGGCCTTTGAGCTTAGAGATCATTCTCCTTGAGGTCTTCTGGAAGCACCAGCAGTAGTTCCTCTTGCTTGGAGGTCTTTCTCCTTGAAGGTCTTCTGGAAGTGCCAGCAGAATATCTTATTGCTTGGAGCTATTTTGGAAACACCCCAGAAGGTTTTTCTGCTTGAAGGTCACCTGGAAGCATTATCAGAAGGTTTTTTTTTCTTGGAGCTCTTCTGGAAGCACTACAGAAAGTCTTTGTGCTTAGAGATCTTGCTCCTTGAAGGTCCTCTAGAACTACCAGTAGAAGGTCCTAATATCTTACTGCTTGGAACTCTTTTGGAAGCACCACAATTTTTTTTGCTTGAAGGTCTTTCTCCTTGGAAGTTTTCTGGAAGGATGTTCAGAAGGTCTTTTTACTTGGAGCTCTTCCAGAAGCACCACAGAAGTTCTTTGTGCTTAGAGATCTTGCCCTTTGGAGGTTTTCTGGAAGTATCAGCAGGCTTTCTTGCTTCGAGATCGTTTTCTGGAAGCATCATCAGAATATCTCATTACTTGGAGATCTTCTGCAAGCACCAGCTGAAGGCCTTAGAAATCTTTCTCCTTCAAATACCAGGAGAAGGTTCCATTGCTTGGAGATCTTCTGGAAGCATCATCAGAATATCTAATTACTTGGAGCTCTTCTAGACTCATCATCATTAAAAGGCCTTATAGCATGGAGCTCTTCTGAAAGCACCATAGAAAACCTTTGTGCTTAGACAGTGTTCTCCTTGAAGGTCTGCTGGAAGCAACAGCAGAAGGTCCTATTGCTTGGAGGTCTTTCTCCTTGAAGGTTTTCTGGAAGCATCATCATAATCTCTTATTACTTGGGGATCTTCTGGATGCATCATCAGTGAAAGGCCTTATTGCTTGGAGCTCTTCTGGAAGCACCACAAAAAGTCATTGCACTTGGAGATCTTGCTCCTTAAAGATCTTCTGGAAGTACTAGCAGAATGTTCTAATATCTTATTGCTTGGAGCTCTTTTTTACTTGGATTTTGCTCCTTGAAGGCCAGAAGAAAGTCTCATTGCTTGGAGGTCTTCTGGAAGCACTACAGAGTCTCTCTTTGAGCTTAGAGACTCTGCTCCTTGAAGGTTTTCTTGAAGCATCAAGAACATAAAAGCATTTGTGCTTGGAAGTCTTTCTTCTGGAAGAATAATCACAATATCTTATTGCTTGGAGCTCTTCTGCAAGCACCAGCCAAAGGTGTTGGAGATCTTTCACCTTAAAGGTCATCTGGAAGGACCAACAGAAGGTTCTATTGCAGTGGTTCTCAACCTGGTGTCCCCAGATGTTTTTGGCCTTCAACTCCCAGAAATCCTAACAGCTGGTAAAGTGGCTGGGATTTCTGGGAGTTGTAGGCCAAAAACATCTGGAGATCCCAGGTTGAGAACCACTGTTCTATTGCTTGAAGGTCCTTCTTCTGGAAGCATCACCAGAATTTCTTACTGCTTGGAGGTCTTCTGGATGCATGATCATTGAAAGCCCTTTTTGCTTGGAGCTACAGTAAAGGAGATTCCACCTGAACATTAGGAAGAACTTCCTAACTGTGAGAGTTGTTCAGCAGTGGAACTCTTTCTGCCCTGGAGAACTGGATGGCTCATGAGGTCTCTTCCAACTCTAGAATTCTATTATTCTTCTGGAAGCACCAGAGAAAGTCTTTGTACTTAGAGATCTTGCTTCTTGAAGGTCATCTGGAAGAACCAGTAAAAGATGCTATTTTCTTGAGGTCTTTCTCCTTGAAGGACCTGTGGAAGCATCACCAGAATATCTTAACATTTGGAGCTCTTTTGGAAGCACCACAGACAGGATGTTTGCTTGAAGGAGGAAGAACTCAATGCTCATGAATCCTGGGCAGAGAAGGCTAAAGATCTTGCAAAACTACAACTCCTTGAGCCATGGCAGTTAAAGTGGCACTAAACTGCATTAATCCTTCAGTACAGATGCATCAATAGTTTAACCTCCTTGGTTCCCTTTCTCTGGACAAGTTACATTTCTTCTATTTCCTTCATTGGGGTCTATGACTATGGACTCTTCAGAGACAGAAGGACATAACACGTAGGAAATCTATTTTATTGCAAAGGCTTTGTCTTCCAATGGAGAAATGGACATTGTGTCGTGAATGGCTTTTCAATGATTGAAAGCATAGGGTTTTTTATTGCAATTTCCAGTGTGAGAGCGTACATCAGATTACAGAAAAACATTTAGACAAAGAATGACATTGGACAGACAGACATACCGATTTACAATTACGTGGCTGACAAACAAACAAAGGGGAATTACGTTTACACTCAACATTCACACCACATGTACATGCATTCATCCTCATGCACCCAAATATGACCATATCCTTTTCTCCCTCTTTGGAGAAGCACCTCTTAGGCCAGACCCTGCTTTCCTGCAGCCTGCCAAGGCATAGTTCCAAAATGCCAACACTTCAAAATGCTGAGATACCAAAACTTCTTTCCCTAAGCACAATGCCAAGGACCAGATCTCTGTTTTCCATGCAGCAGAACCTGACTCCCTGCACAAAATCCAAGACACCAAAAGCGCACTTCTTCCTCTTCCCTTGAGAAAGAAGCCCCAAAGTGACCAGAATCATGCTTTCCCATAGCATATCTGCCACTCTCCTTAGGTACACCATCTCTGTCCTTCCCATGGAGCAGAGCATAGCGGGTGAACCAGACTCCTCAGGTCGGTCACAATTGAGCATTATTAGACTGAGTCTTTTATAGGAATATTCTGCTGATGTCGTCCCAAAGTTGTAAATTAATGATAGTCTTCCATCCTGGATCAATCCCAGTTTCCTGGCCAGATGTTGATCTTCTTGATTGGTTTTGATCTTATGTTGACTTCCTTCTTAACATAAGGAATGTTGCAAACATTTCATAGAATCATAGAATCGAAGAGTTGGAAGAGACCTCCTGGGCCATCACCCAGTCCAACCCCATTCTGCCAAGAAGCAGGAATATTGCATTCAAATCACCCCTGACAGATGGCCATCCAGCCTCTGTTTAAAAGCTTCCAAAGAAGGAGCCTCCACCACACTCCGGGGCAGAGAGTTCCACTGCTGAACGGCTCTCACAGTCAGGAAGTTCTTCCTCATGTTCAGATGGAATCTCCTTTCTTGTAGTTTGAAGCCATTGTCCTAGTCTCCAGGGAAGCAGAAAACAAGCTTGCTCCCTCCTCCCTGTGGCTTCCCCTCACATATTTATATATGGCTATCATATCTCCTCTCAGCCTTCTCTTCTTCAGGCTAAACATGCCCAGCTCCTTAAGCCGCTCCTCATAGGGCTTGTTCTCCAGACCCTTGATCATTTTAGTCGCCCTCCTCTGGACACATTCCACCTTGTCAATATCTCTCTTGAATTGTGGTGCCCAGAATTATCACAGAGTTTATTTTTCAGCTCTTATTAGCAACTTTTAATTACAGTCCAGCAAGCAGGTAGTTAGTCATTGCAGGCCTCAATATTATACTGGTGTCTCCAAAAGTATTAGCTCCATCCATCCTTCCATTCATTCCCACACATCATATTAAATCCACATTTATCAAATCTGCACATTATTTTTTTGCGACAATTGTACCCCAAATGCTAGTATTACAACAAAAAGCAGGCAACAGACAAATAGAAAATAGTTCTAGATTTGCAGGATCCTTTGGGATCCTTTTGCCATTTTACAAATATCTCTGAGATCCAAGCTGAAAGGACACGCTTAAGGCAAAACATTAAAAGAACCTGTTCAACTCCCACAAAAATTTCCCAAACAAGATGAGACATCATAGAGTTGCAAGGGTCCCCAAAAGGTTATCTTTATCTAGTCCAACTCCAACCTAATTGTAAATAATGAAAAAGATTTACCTCATAGGAATCCTGTTACAAAACAGGAGCTTTTTTGTTGAGTTCCAGGGCCAGAGAAGCAGATGGCGGAAACAGAAGAACGGCCTGCCTCGGGGGAGCGTGCTTGCTCCATCCATGTTCAACATCTACACAAATGACCAGCCACTGCCAGAAGGGACAGAGAGCTTCATCTATGCTGATGATCGTGCCATCACCACTCAAGCAGGGAGCTTTGAGATGGTAGAACAGAAGCTTTCCGAAGCTCTAGGTGCTCTTACTGCCTATTACAGGGAAAACCAGCTGATCCCCAACGCATCTAAAACACAGACATGTGCTTTTCATCTCAAGAACACACAAGCATCCCGAGCTCTGAGGATCACCCACTGAGAAGGAATCCCACTGGAGCATTGCAGCGCACCCAAATACCTGGGAGTCACTCTGGACCGTGCTCTGAC